GTTTATAATTACTTTTTGTTTTTCTTTTGCTGTCTGTACACAAAACAAAGCAGCAGCAGCAGCAGCAGCTACAAAAAAGAAAGAGTAAGTAGATTAGCTATCTCCCATCCATCAACAGCAGCAAACAAATTCATTCTAAAAAAAAACCAAAAATAAACAGCAGCAACAAAAACTATTCTCCTGCATAGCAGCAGCAGCTTGTGTCCCTCAGCCTGCTGCTGCTGCTGCTGTTGCTGCTGCTGCTGCTGCTGCTGCTGCTGCTTTTTTTTTCGCTTTTTTTTATAAACAAATGGAAGCGGGGGAGGAGGAGGCACCCAAGGGCGAACTCCGTTTGCTGCTGCTGCTTCTGCTGCTGCTGCTGCTGCTGCTGCTGCTTCTGCTGCTGCTGCTGCTGTTGCTGCTGCTGCGGGATCTGCAGCAGCAGACTGTGCTGCTGCTGACGCTTCAGGGGGGCGGCTGCTGCACGGGCATCTCCATGCTGCTGCTGCTGCTGCTGCTGCTGCTGCTGCTGTGTCTCCAGCAGCAGCAGAAGGAGAAAAAAAAACAGCAACTAGCCACAGCGGCAGCAAACAGCTAAAGGGAACAGAAGACAAACAAACACCTAAATAAACAAATACACACAAAACACAAAACAACATACAAACACATACAAATAGCTAGCTAGCTAGCTAGCTAGCTAGCTAGGTAGTTGAGAAGGAAGGGGGTTGTGGCTGCAGCTTGTATAGTTATTTAGCTAGCTAGCTAGCNAGCCAAGGGATAGGAAGCTAGCTAGCTATCCAGGGAGGGATCCACCTAGCTAGCTAGCTAGCTAGCTAGCTAGCTAGCTAGCTAGCTAGCTAGCCACCCATCAACGCATTCAGCTAGCTTTCTATGAATCTATATATCTCTGTATCTATCTATCTCTTCAACTATATTTCTATCTATATCTCTAGCTAGCTATCCATAAATATATAGCTAGCTAGCTAGCTGTGTATATATGTTAGCTAGCTAGCTAGCTAGCTAGCTAGCTAGCTAGCTGTGTATGTGTTGCGCTGACTGTGGGGGAGAACAAAAGCACGTTGGAATCTGCGTGCATAAGAAGCAGCAGAAAAAGAAAATAAAAAAAAAGGAAAAGAAAAAGAAAAAGAAGAAAACAAAAAAAATAACAAAGACAGCCAGTGGCTAGCTACGCTCGGGCGCTCCACCTGCACACACACAAAAATATAAATAGATAAATAAATAAATAAATAAATAAATAAATAAATAAATAAATAAATAAACAAATAAATAAATTAGTGAAGAAATAAAAAAAGAAACAAATAAATAAATAAAATAAAAACGAAAGGGTGTTGAGGGTTTTTGTCTCTTTCGGTGGGGTGGCTGTTTCTGTAGCTACCCTCAAGCCTAAACAACAGCTAGCTAGCTAGCTAGCTAGCTAGCTAGCTGGCTAACGTATATACAGCTCGTTAGCTAGCGTGCTAGCTGTACATAGCTAGCTAGCTAGCTATTTAGCTATCTATCTATCTATCTATATCTCTAGCTAGCTAGCTAGCTAGCTAGCTATTTAGCTATCTATATATCTATATCTCTACCTAGCTAGCTAGCTAGCTATCTATCTATATATATCTATAGCTAGCTAGCTAGCTAGCTAGCTATTTAGCTATCTATATATCCATATCTCCAGCTAGCTAGCTAGCTAGCTAGCTAGCTAGCTAGCTAGCTAGCTAGCTAGCTAGCTAGCTAGCTATTCTTTTTTTCTTACAGTGAGTTGCAGGAGAAGAGCAGCTTTTTGCTGCTGCGAAAAAAAACGAAAAAATGAATCGCAAAATTCAACAGAGGCGATGGAACCGCTGCACATACACCACACACACAGATACAGCTAGCTAGCTAGCTAGCTAGCTAGCTGGGGAGCTAGCTAGCTGGGGAGCTAGCTAGCTGGGGCGCTAGCTAGCTGGGGAGCTAGCTAGCTGGCTAGCTAGCTGGGGAGCCAGCTAGCTAGCTGGGGAGGTAGCTAGCTAGCTAGCTAGCTGGGGAGCTAGCTAGATAGCTAGCTCGGGTGTTAGCTAGCTGGGGCGCTAGCTAGCTAGCTAGCTGGGCTGATATGTGGATAGGTAGGGAGGTAGCTAGCTAGCTAGATAGATAGGTAGGTAGATACGCAGCTAGCTAGCTAGCCATATACGTAGCTAGCTAACTAGCTAGCTACCTACCTATATGGCTAGCTAGCTACGTAGACAGCTAGCTACCTATATGGCTAGCTAGATAGGTATATATATATGTATATATACATATATATATATAGATATATATATATATATATATATATATATATATTTATTTATTTATTTATTTA